CCACCAAGACACATCCCCTGATGCAGGCAGCTCTAGACACTCACAGTCTGGGCAGGGTCGAGCATCTGGATCCAGGGCAAGCGGACACCGGGGATCCAGCGTAACTCAGGACAGTAAGAGTGAAGGACACTCGGAAGACTCAGAGAGACAATCTGGGTCTGCTTCCAGAAACCACCCTGGCTCCGCCCATGGCCAGTCAAGAGACGCCTCTAGACGCTCTGGGTCTCAACAACGGGACAGAGCCGGTCGCGGACAGTCTGAGTCTGCCCACGGACACGCAGACGCCAGTGCCAGTGGAAGACAACGGTCTAGACATGGACAGTCTGCAGACAGCTCCAGACAGTCAGGCTCTCGTCACGGAGAGACTTCCTCTCGTGGAGAGGCTGAGTCTTCCCATGGGCAGTCAAGATCAAGTGCAAGAGGAAGACAAGAATCCCACCACGCGCCGTCAGCAGACAGCGCCAGACACTCAGGGGCTGGACGTGGACAATCATCCCCCGCATCCCGGGCAAACAGACACCAGGGATCCAGCGTTAGTGAGGCCAGTGAGAGTGAGGGACAATCAGAAGACTCAGACAGTCAGTCAGTGTCAGCCCACGGAAGGTCTGGGCCCAGTCAGCGGAACCCACAAGAGTCCGCACGTGGACGGTCAGAGGAAAGGTCTAGACGCTCAGGGTCTCTCCTCTACCAGACACCCCCTCCTGAGGAGTCTGAGTCCTCCCATGGACAGCACGGATCCAACAGTAGAGGGAGACAAGGATCCCGCCGCGAGCAGGCTCCAGACAGCTCTAGACACTCAGCAACTCATGAGGGTCAGGCAAGCGCTCATGGGCATTCAGGATCCGGCAGAGAAGGAAGGCAGGGGTCCCGTCACGAGCAATCAGGAGACAGTTCTCAACACCCAGGGTCCCGCCACCGCCAGACAGCCGCCCAGGGAGGGTCTGATTCTTCCCATGGTGAGGCAGGACACAGAAGTGCAAACAGACAAAGGTCTGGCCACCAACACTCGGGAGACACCGCTAGGCGGTCAGGGTCTCGCCACCAAGACACATCCCCTGACGCAGGCAGCTCTAGACACTCACAGTCTGGGCAGGGTCGAGCATCTGGGTCCAGGGCAAGCAGACACCGGGGATCCAGCGTCAGTCAGGACAGTGAGAGTGAAGGACACTCGGAAGACTCAGAGAGACAATCTGGGTCTGCTTCCAGAAACCACCCTGGCTCCACCCATGGCCAGTCAAGAGACGCCTCTAGACACTCTGGGTCTCAAAAACGAGACAGAGCCAGTCGCGGACACTCTCAGTCTGCCCCTGAGTACTCTCACCACACTTCCAGTACAGTGCATGGTCACTCTAATTCTGGTTCTCAAGCATCAGGCTATAGGTCAAAAATACAATCACATTACAGTCCTAATAATTCTAGGCCTGATGATTTTCACTGTGAGAGTATCAAAAGTCCAAGGAATACATCACGTTTAGGTTGGAGACATGGCAGCTATGGTAATGCAGATTATGAATATGGGCTTTCAGGTTTTGGAAAATCTCACGATGGATCTTCCCATTACAATTCCAATCCTGTGGATTTCAGAGATTGTTCTGAAGTCACAAAAGCATCTGGATATGGAGAAAATTATATGGGATTAAATATAATAGGCAGTAATAGACAGCCAGGAATATATGGCTTTTCAAGTGATACATCAAAACAGCTGGGATTTGGTCAGTCACAAACATACTATTACTATGAGTAGGAATCCAATGGAAAAGCAATTAATTCCCGAGTAGAGGGAAGAAGGAAGAATATTATTTTCAATCTAGAGACTTGGCATAATACTTTCTGTGGGGTATCTTTTCCTACCATTCTGTTTCAAATATGCTACACTATTTTATTACATTGGTGGTAGTTTCTTTTTATCCTTTAAGGAATTTTGAATGTTATATTTAGGAAATATTAAATGGAAGAATCAATGCCATGGAGAGCTAAGTTTGGAA